TCTTTAAATTTTATTTTAACAATCTCTGCTTTAAATTCCTTTAACCCTAATTGTTATTAAAGGAAATTATTTGCCATAACTGTTTAAATTGCAGTAAAAAGTTTAAGTTTATGCATTAATAAATAACTTTAACCCAAAAAGTTCATTAATACAAAATTTAGTTTTCTGCCAAATCTTTACTAAAATCCTTTAAGGACAAAACGAAAGACCTTAAGTGTACATATGTATATTTGAGACTACCCTCATCAATTTCTTATCTTTAACTCTATTTAAGACAAACAGAAAAATAAACTATTATTGCTGAAAAAAAATACATTTCGTTAGGTTTGTAGCCCAAATATGCAGTATTGGTTTTAAGAAAATGTCACAGTTTAGTAGGCCTATAAATTTTTAATAAAGTCGAATGTTTTTAAAGGGGTTATCCTTTCATTACATTTTCTATTCTATTTTATTAAGGTTTAACTTAAATATATAAAACAGTCACACACACACACCAAATGCATACAAAATTTCTTTAGAAAAAGAAAAAGTAACCAAAAAATAAAAAAATAAAATTGTTTTGAAACACAAAGTATTGAAAACACTAGATAAGCAGACGTGCGTTACTAATTTGGTTAAAAGAAATTCGTAAAGAAGAAAATAAATTAAAGGATTTTATAAAGTAATGTTTAAGCAAATAAGTTCAAATCTAGAAATTTCATTTAAATTTTAAAAAAGTATTTTTTGTTCAATTGTTTCTTTTTTCTTTAAATTTTAAGAATTGAAAGCAATAATGAATAATTACTTTTAAACTGTCATCTCATTATGTTTAATTTTTTTTTGTTAAACACAGAATACATAAATACATTTACTGCCAAAAAAAACTATAGTTCTTAAAGTTTACTTTTTTCTCTCTATTTGTGGTTAATATTATTACTTCCAGCTATATTTAATGCAAAAAAAGCGTATCAACAATTATTTTTATTTTTTATTTCTTCGTGTATGTAATTTATTATTTTTTGCTTGTTTTCTTTACAGTCGTGTTCTATTATGTGTTTAAAAGATACGCTACTTTCAAAGGCAAGGTAATATTAATTTATCATGAGGGTTATCCCAATACTATAATCACAAATTTTTACAGAAGTATGTATCTAGTCTATAGTCCAGGCTACAGGCTAGTATATAGCCCAGTACATAGTCTGGTCTAAACTCCAGTCTATAATATATTAGTTTATTTTGTATACTAGTTTATAGTTTTGTCTATAGTTTTGTCTATAGTCTAGTCTATAGCCCAGTCTATAGTCTAGTCTATAGTCTAGTCTATAGTCTAGTCCATAGTCTAGCCTATAGTCCAGTCTATAGTCTAGTCTATAGTCTAGTCTATAGTCTAGTCTATAGTATAGTCTATAGTCTTGTCTATAGTCTAGTCTATAGTCTAGCCTATAGTCTAGTCTATAGTCTAGTCTATAGTTTAGCCTATATTCTAGTCTATAGTCTGGTCTATAGTCTAGTCTATAGTCTAGTCTATAGTCTAGTCTATAGTCTAGTCTATAGTCTAGTCTATAGTCTAGTCTATAGTCTAGTCTATAGTCTAGTCTATAGTCTAGTCTATAGTCTAGTCTATAGTCTAGTCTATAGTCTAGTCTATAGTCTAGTCTATAGTCTAGTCTATAGTCTAGTCTATAGTCTAGTCTATAGTCTAGTCTATAGTCTAGTCTATAGTCTAGTCTATAGTCTAGTCTATAGTCTAGTCTATAGTCTAGTCTATAGTCTAGTCTATAGTCTAGTCTATAGTCTAGTCTATAGTCTAGTCTATAGTCTAGTCTATAGTCTAGTCTATAGTCTAGTCTATAGTCTAGTCTATAGTCTAGTCTATAGTCTAGTCTATAGTCTAGTCTATAGTCTAGTCTATAGTCTAGTCTATAGTCTAGTTCTAGTATAGTCTATAGTCTAGTCTATAGTCTAGTCTATAGTCTAGTCTATAGTCTAGTCTAGTCTAGTCTATAGTCTAGTCTATAGTCTAGTCTATAGTCTAGTCTATAGTCTAGTCTATAGTCTAGTCTATAGTCTAGTCTATAGTCTAGTCTATAGTCTAGTCTATAGTCTAGTCTATAGTCTAGTCTATAGTCTAGTCTATAGTCTAGTCTATAGTCTAGTCTATAGTCTAGTCTATAGTCTAGTTATAGTCTAGTCTATAGTCTAGTCTATAGTCTAGTCTATAGTCTAGTCTATAGTCTAGTCTATAGTCTAGTCTATAGTCTAGTCTATAGTCTTCTATAGTCTAGTCTATAGTCTAGTCTATAGTCTAGTCTATAGTCTAGTCTATAGTCTAGTCTATAGTCTAGTCTATAGTCTAGTCTATAGTCTATAGTCTAGTCTATAGTCTAGTCTATAGTCTAGTCTATAGTCTAGTCTATAGTCTAGTCTATAGTCTAGTCTATAGTCTAGTCTATAGTCTAGTCTATAGTCTAGTCTATAGTCTAGTCTATAGTCTAGTCTATAGTCTAGTCTATAGTCTAGTCTATAGTCTAGTCTATAGTCTAGTCTATAGTCTAGTCTATAGTCTAGTCTATAGTCTAGTCTATAGTCTAGTCTATAGTCTAGTCTATAGTCTAGTCTATAGTCTAGTCTATAGTCTAGTCTATAGTCTAGTCTATAGTCTAGTCTATAGTCTAGTCTATAGTCTAGTCTATAGTCTAGTCTATAGTCTAGTCTATAGTCTAGTCTATAGTCTAGTCTATAGTCTAGTCTATAGTCTAGTCTATAGTCTAGTCTATAGTCTAGTCTATAGTCTAGTCTATAGTCTAGTCTATAGTCTAGTCTATAGTCTAGTCTATAGTCTAGTCTATAGTCTAGTCTATAGTCTAGTCTATAGTCTAGTCTATAGTCTAGTCTATAGTCTAGTCTATAGTCTAGTCTATAGTCTAGTCTATAGTCTAGTCTATAGTGTAGTCTATAGTCTAGTCTATAGTGTAGTCTATAGTCTAGTCTATAGTCTAGTCTATAGTCTAGTCTATAGTCTAGTCTATAGTCTAGTCTATAGTCTAGTCTATAGTCTAGTCTATAGTCTAGTCTATAGTCTAGTCTATAGTCTAGTCTATAGTCTAGTCTATAGTCAGTCTATCTAGTCTAGTCTATAGTCTAGTCTATAGTCTAGTCTATAGTCTAGTCTATAGTCTAGTCTATAGTCTAGTCTAGTCTCTAGTCTATAGTCTAGTCTATAGTCTATCTAGTCTAGTCTATAGTCTAGTCTATAGTCTAGTCTATAGTCTAGTCTATAGTCTAGTCTATAGTCTAGTCTATAGTCTAGTCTATAGTCTAGTCTATAGTCTAGTCTATAGTCTAGTCTATAGTCTAGTCTATAGTCTAGTCTATAGTCTAGTCTATAGTCTAGTCATAGTCAGTCTATAGTCTATAGTCTAGTCTATAGTCTAGTCTATAGTCTAGTCTATAGTCTAGTCTATAGTCTAGTCTATAGTCTAGTCTATAGTCTAGTCTATAGTCTAGTCTATAGTCTAGTCTATAGTCTAGTCTATAGTCTAGTCTATAGTCTAGTCTATAGTCTAGTCTATAGTCTAGTCTATAGTCTAGTCTATAGTCTAGTCTATAGTCTAGTCTATAGTCTAGTCTATAGTCTAGTCTATAGTCTAGTCTATAGTCTAGTCTATAGTCTAGTCTATAGTCTAGTCTATAGTCTAGTCTATAGTCTAGTCTATAGTCTAGTCTATAGTCTAGTCTATAGTCTAGTCTATAGTCTAGTCTATAGTCTAGTCTATAGTCTAGTCTATAGTCTAGTCTATAGTCTAGTCTATAGTCTAGTCTATAGTCTAGTCTATAGTCTAGTCAATAGTCTAGTCTATAGTCTAGTCTATAGTCTAGTCTATAGTCTAGTCTATAGTCTAGTCTATAGTCTAGTCTATAGTCTAGTCTATAGTCTAGTCTATAGTCTAGTCTATAGTCTAGTCTATAGTCTAGTCTATAGTCTAGTCTATAGTCTAGTCTATAGTCTAGTCTATAGTCTAGTCTATAGTCTAGTCTATAGTCTAGTCTATAGTCTACTCTATAGTCTAGTCTATAGTCTAGTCTATAGTCTAGTCTATAGTCTAGTCTATAGTCTAGTCTATAGTCTAGTCTATAGTCTGGTCTATAGTCTAGTCTATAGTCTAGTCTATAGTCTAGTCTATTGTCTAGTCTATAGTCTAGTCTATAGTCTAGTCTATAGTCTAGTCTATAGTCTAGTCTATAGTCTAGTCTATAGTCTAGTCTATAGTCTAGTCTATAGTCTAGTCTATAGTCTAGTCTATAGTCTAGTCTTAGTCTAGTCTATAGTCTAGTCTATAGTCTAGTCTATAATCTAGTCTATAGTCTAGTCTATAGTCTAATCTATAGTCTAGTCTATAGTCTAGTCTATAGTCTAGTCTATAGCCTAGTCTATAGTCTAGTCTATAGTCTAGTCTATAGTCTGGTCTATAGTCTAGTCTATGGTCTAGTCTATAGTCTAGTCTATAGTATAGTCTATAGTCTAGTCTATAGTCTAGTCTATAGTCTAGTCTATAGTCTAGTCTATAGTCTAGTCTATAGTCTAGTCTATAGTCTAGTCTATAGTTTAGCCTAGTATTCTCTATACTCTAGGTTGTAAATTAGTCCGTATTTTAATCTATAGTTTAGTCTATAGTCTATCCTACAGTATAGACTGGTCTTAAGTCTATAGTCTAGTATACACTCTCGCCAGTCTACTATTACCGTTTGTAAATTACTTTATATAACTTTATTATGTTTTTTTTTTATTTTTTAAGAAAGTAAACACTTCATGAAACTATTACCTGTTGAAAAAAATCACAAAACGAAATAATAATATTTAGGAAACAGCAAAAAAAAAAATCACAATAAAAAAATTCGCGAACTTTAATTGCTTAAAAAACTCGTGATTTTTTCGCTAAGCAAAATTAAACACATTAAAACCTGATTTTGTGTATCTATTAATTTGATTACAATAATTAGTGCAACATTTCCTACTTGATATAAAAAGCCTCAAGTACAGTCAATAAGAACAACACAAGACACTTAACAGTCCCTTAGAGAACATACAAATTCTACACAAACAAAAATCTAAAATATTTCAAAACATGAAGTTGGTCATTACTTTAGCTGTTGTTTGCCTAATGGCCTCTGCCTTAGCTTCAGTAAGTTTTCTATATTTTAGATTTTAAATAAAATATTTAATACATATTCCATTTCCAGCCTTTAGAGCTAAACGATGAACAGAAAGTCAAAGCTAAGCAATATTTCGAGGAGTGCATTAAACAGGAGAACGTGTCCGATGCTGATGCCGAAAAATTGCGCAAAAAGGATTTCGCCAATCCCTCTAAGAATTTGAAATGTTTCGGTACTTGTTTCTTTGAAAAAGTCGGTACTTTGAAGGACAGTAAAGTGCAGGAAGATGTGGTTTTGGCAAAGTTGGGTTCCATTATAGGTGAGGAAAAGACCAAGGCTATTTTAGCTAAATGCAAAGATGTTAAAGGTGAAGATCGTTGTGATACCGGTTTCAAATTGTATGAATGTTTTGAAAGTGCTAAGGCTGAAGTGATGGCAACTTATTGATTTAAGTAAGAATTTGTTGTTATTAAAAGTATTTTATGTAAAGAGTGTATATTAAAGGGTTTTAAATAAATATTTTAAAATTAACAGTTTAATGGGATTTTATTTCGTAATGTAATTTTTCTAAAGTTAAGGCATTAGACTTGAGTCTTACACAACAGATATTGACACGCGTATGAATCAAGAAATATATTCGGAATGGTGTATTAGAAATGATCACTAGTACGTTTGTTTGTGTAGATACAACCAGAGAATATTGAAATTGTAAACAACAAACTTAAAAGCTTATAATTGTAAACATCTCTCAAGTTTTAAGAATTTTGTTAGTCGTGAAATGCGTTCGTAATGATGTCTTCGAGACAATCACTTCTTCAAGTTATAGACGTAAAGAGAAAAATCTTGCTGGTTGAAGTATTCATCACATTGCAATATCTAAAAGCTTCAGATTCTAAGCTTTTCTTCTCTATTGCTCAGTTTGTTTAATTTATTTAGAATTCGTAATATTAACATGTTAATTACCGATGACCTTTGCCCACTAATCAATATTCAAATATGCTTGAAAATTGTGATCTTTTCACCATCCAACCATATAAAAGAGACTTTTTAAATGTCATTCCGGAGACATAAAATTCCTTTGATTATAATAAGATTCAAGCCATGTCCATCCGTCTGTCTTTCGGTCTATCGATCTATACATATATGTATATAATTGCATGCCGATCCGTTTGTTTGTCTATCAACCTGTCTGTTTCATTGCCAGTCTGATGAACACACAATGCAGCCAAAACAAGAGGAGTTGGAGGGCTGAGTAGTCATGTCCGTCTGTCTGTTAGTCTGTCAGTCTGTCTGTCTATATATCTGTCGGTTAATCTGTTTGTCTGTATCTCTGTTAGTTCGATGAAAACACAAGGTAATCAAAACAACATGAGATAGAGGGCTAAGTAGTTATGTATGTCCGTCTGTCTGTTAGTTTGTCTGTCTGTCTTTCTATCTGTATTTCGGTCTTTCGATCTATACATATGTATATCTGCCTGCAGATCCGTCTGCCTAGCAATCTGTCTGTTTCCTTGTTAGTCTGGTGAAATACAATGCAGCCAAAACAAGAAGAGTTGGAGGGCTGAGTAGCCATGTTCATCTGTTAGTCTGTCTGTCTGTCTATCTATCTATGTATCTGTCTATATATAATTGTCTGTTAATCTGTTTGTCTATCTATCAATCTGTCTGTCCGTTTCTCTGTTAGTTTGATTAAAACACAATGCAGCCAAAACAAGAGGAGCTAGAGAGCTAAGTAGACATGTCCGTCTGTCTGTTAGTCTGTCTATATATCTGTCCGTCTGTCTATATATCTGTCTGTTAATCTGTTTGTCTATCTATCAAACTGACAAAAGCCATGCGAAGCCATGTTCGACAATACGTAAGTCTGCCTATCTGTCTGTTAATCTGTTTAACTATCTCTCCAACTCTCTGTCTGTTTCTCTATCAGTCTGAAGAAAACACAATACAGCCACATAAAGAGGAGCAAGAAGGTTGAGTATTAAGAATGGAAAAAATGGATAAAACTATTACTTGATAATACCTCATTTAAATCTCGTAAGCACCTTAAAATTTCAAGAAAAGCTTTATCTAACAAAATTTTAACAATAAAATCTCCATCAACTTAATTTTCTTTAACTTTTATTTTTCACAAAAATAATACTTTATTTTACCACAAAACTTAAGCGCTCAATTGAGCCTTGTAGTTTTCGAAACATTCATAGATTTTGAAACCGGTATCACAACGATCGGCACCCTTGATATCCTTGCATTTGTGCAAAACTTCCTTGGTCTTCTCTTCACCAATCAAAGCACCCAATTTAGCCAAAACAACATCTTCCTGAACTTGGCTGTCCTTCAAGGTGCCAACCTTTTCAAAGAAACAAGTACCGAAACATTTCATGGCGTCTGAGGGATTGGTAAAGTCCTTGTTACGCAATCTAGTGGCATCTTCTTCGGAAACGTTTTCTTGCTTAACACACTCTTGGAAGTGAACCTTAGCTTTGGCTTTTTGTTCTTCGCTCAATTCAAGGGGCTGGAAAATAAGAAAGTGGTTGATTAGTCAAAAAGAGTGTGTATATTTGATGGTTTTTTCTGAAGGAGTGATCCTTACATTGGCCAAAGTTGAGGCAATGAAGCAAACAACAGCTAAAGTAATGAAAGCTTTCATGTTGATTTCTTTAGTTTTTTGTTTGTTTGAGGAGTTTGAGTGTTTCTTAAAAGACTGCTAAGAAAGTTGTGTTGTTCTAGTCTTCCAACTTAGGGGTTTATATATTCTGAATGTTTTACTGTGTTAGCACTAAATCCAGTTTATTTTGTTTATTAACATACATAGATATATATGTTTATGTGACTGTAAATTTTTTATTATTATGTGATTTTTCGTTAATAGTTTCGTGCAAAGATTTTTAAAGAAAGCCCTAAACAGCTGTTTCGCTTAACTTTACCAAAATGTTTTAATTTTTTTTTGTTCATTATTTTTAAGCTGATTTTAATATTTGTTATTTTTATGACGTTTAAAAAGTGTCTGGCTTGTTTCTTAGGAAAAAAAAAATAATTTGTATAATTTATCAGCAATGTTCTCCATCATCAGCCAGTTTTGCTTTAAGACCAAATGTCTTCATAAATTATTCATTAATTTTTTTTGGCCTTATAATAGTCAGTCTGCGATATCTGTATAAAAAATTAGATTAATATGTAATAAAAATTATGGTGATGTTTTCTGGCGCCTAAGAAAAAGTTTAAGTCAGACTGTAACGAAAGGGACAAAGGTTAAAAAATAGTCTTGTTGATTAAACTAATTAATGGAGAATCTATAATTTTAAAAAATTCAAATTATCAAATTTCGAATTTTTCAGAAAACTCTAGACTTTAGTTTATATAGGGGTTTGTAGATGAATCTTATCCGAAATCGGGAGATTACTATGTTTGTTTCAAATTAATGTAAACTAAATTTAATAACAATTTTATATTTTTTCCATTTTTAATCATTCGCTTAATATGCAGAAAAACCTATATTCTGCATAATTATATCAAACATCCCAAAAGATGAAGAAAGACGGACGGACTAATCATGTCCGTCCGTCCGTCTGTTTGCTAAAATTTTAGTACTTCCTAAACAAAAAGAGAGTATTTTTCTATAAAATGTCTAGCTACATTACATAATTATATGAAACATCTCTACATAATTATATCAAACATCACAAAAGATGAAGAAAGACGGACGGACTAATCCCGTCCGTCCGTCCGTCCGTCCATCCGTCTGTTTGCTAAAAGTTTAGTACTTCCTAAAAAAAGAAAGTATTTTTCTATAAAATATTTGGCTTATTGATAACAGTATTATAACTTAAACAAATTATAAAATTTTATTAAATAAAAGCACAACTAGACATAAAAATCGATCACCAATTATGTTTACCATTTTTAAAGAAAGTTATTAACACCAAAATAAAAACATTAAGCTTCTTTTTTTTGATAATTTCAAACAAAACATTAGATGTAATTAAACTCTATACAGAAAAAAAACTAAGCCAGCAGCATAATATACCAGCAAACCACTCAATATTAAGAGCAATCTCCTAAAGTGTGTATGTCAATCATTCAATGAAACTATAAAAAAAACTATAAAAATAATAACAAATAAACAAATGATAAAAAAAAACATGAAAAAAAAGTTTGCCAAAATTGTAAACATATTCAAAAAAAAAAAAAAAAAAAGTAAACAAAAAACTGGATTTCATGTAGCTAATGCTATTAGCTTTAGCAATGAGCAAAAAACTACAATGATTATAAAAACCCCTGAAATCGAAGCAAAGAATCACACAACTTTCTTAACAGTCTTTTAAGAAACATCAAATCAGACAAACAAAAATCTAAAGAAATCAATATGAAGGCTTTCATTACTTTAGCTGTTGTTTGCTTCATTGCCTCAACTTTGGCCAATGTAAGTAAATCCTTGAAGAAATGTAATATGAATAAAATGTCTAACTAATACCTACCTATCATTACAGCCTTTGGAATTGAGCGAAGAACAAAAAGCCAAAGCTAAGGTTCACTTCCAAGAATGTGTTGAACAAGAAAAAGTTTCCGAAGAAGATGCCACTAGATTGCGCAACAAGGACTTTACCAATCCCTCAGACGCCATGAAATGTTTCGGTACTTGCTTCTTTGAAAAGGTTGGTACCTTGAAGGACAGCCAGGTGCAAGAAGATGTTGTTTTAGCTAAATTAGGTGCTTTGATTGGTGAAGAAAAGACTAAGGAAGTTTTGCAGAAATGCAAGGACATTAAGGGTGATGACCGTTGTGACACCGGTTTCAAAATCTATGAATGCTTCGAAAGCTACAAAGCTCAATTGTCGGCTTAAGTTTTAAGTTAAAGAGAAAAAGTATTATTTATGAAAAAAACGTTTTACTTTTATCAAATAAATTAAAATGGAAAAAAGTTAATATTTAATGTTTTTCTTCAATTTCTTTGAAATTTTGTATCAGATATTGTAATAGTTCTAAAACTACTGCATCCTTAAGTGGCTCTGATTTGTGATATGTATGTCTATCAATCTGCTTTGATATCTCTCAATCTATAATTAGGAAGAGTGTAAGATGTGCTTTTCATAATTTAAGAAAAATAAGATTCACAGATGGGATCAGAAGATATTTTTGGAATTAGATAACTGAACGTTAAAACTCTTGTATGAATCTCACAATGCTAGTTCCTGCCGATGTTACGATACTTCTACCGAACAGGGTGAAGGCAGAAATTGATATTGAACAGTAAGAAATCGTGAGGATAGTTTGTGCAAATATAAGTACACTCCACTGGTGTCTACTTGTCTTCTTATTTTTCTCAGAACACTGAATCGCTGACTATATTATGGCATTCACCATAACATAAACTGATGTGCTGAAATAGACTATAGCACTAAAGGGAACACTACAGGCTATTGATTGCACTACCTTCAAGACTATAGACTAGACTATAATCCAGACAATAAACTGGGCAACAGACAAGACTATAAAAGTAGATTGTAATAAAGGCTAGACACTAAATTACAGACTATTCCTTGGACTAGACAATCACAACTATATACTAGACTAAAGTCAAGACAGAACTATAAAGTTAATAAACTGTAGTCAAGACTAAACTAGACTGACTAGACTGTAGACTAGTTAAGACTATACACTGGACTATAGTCAAGACTGTAAACCAGACTGTAACCAAGACTATAGACTCAATTATAGCCAATACTATTTACTAGAATATAGTCCAGACCATAAACTAGATTATAGTCAAGACTTGACTAGACTATAGTTAAGACTTGACTAGACTATAGTCAAGACTATATACTAGACTAATGGCAGGACTATAGAATAGACTAGAGTCGAGACAATAAACTAGACTACAGTCAAGATTATAGACTAGACTACAGTCAAGATTATAGACTAGACTATTGTCAAGGCTATAGACTAGACTTAAGTCAAGACTATAGACTAGAATATGGACAACACTATTGACTAGACAATTGTCAAGACTATAGACTAGACTATTTTCAAGACTATAGACTAGACTATAGTCAAGACTATAGACTAGACTATAGTCAAGACTATAGACTAGACTATAGTCAAGACAATAGACTAGACTATAGTCAAGACAATAGACTAGACTATAGTCAAGACAATAGACTAGACTATAGTCAGGATTATAGACTAGACTATTGTCAAGGCTATAGACTAGACTTAAGTCAAGACTATAGACTAGTCTACAGTCTTGACGTTAGTCTAGTCTATTGTCTTGACTATAGTCTAGTCTATGGTCTTGCCTATAGTCTATTCTAGACTAGACTATTGTCAATAACATAGGTAAGACTATAGTTAATACTAAAAGATAGAATATTGTCAGGAGTAGACTATAACTAAGACTAAACTATATACTAAACTATAGATTGGACTACAAACTGTACACAATACTTTAGACTATACCACAGACTATGAAATATAGAATAGGCTATTTACTGTATTATAGACGAATTATAGACTAGACTATAGATTAGACTATCGACTAGACTAGACTGGACTGTAGTGAATACTATCTACTAGACTATATTCATGTTAATATAATAAACTAGACTATATACTATTTAAGTCCTAAAACTAAAAAATCATCAAACTTCCGAATATTAATTTGTTCAATATAATTTTATTTATTACCAACAAATTAAATTTTTTTCATATCTCTTTTTTTAATAAATACTCTTTCCATTCAAAACTTAAGCCGACAATTGAGCCTTGTAGCTTTCGAAACATTCATAGATTTTGAAACCGGTATCGCAACGGTCATCACCCTTGATATCCTTGCATTTGTGTAAAACTTCCTTGGTCTTTTCTTCACCAATGAGAGCACCCAATTTAGCCAAAACAACTTCTTCTTGAACTTGACTGTCCTTCAAGGTACCAACCTTTTCAAAGAAACAAGTACCGAAACATTTCATGGCAGCTGAGGGATTGGTAAAGTCCTTCATGCGTAATCTTTTGGCATCTTCTTCGGAAACATTTTCTTGTTCAACACATTCTTGGAAGTGAACCTTAGCTTTGGCTTTTTGTTCTTCGCTCAATTCCAATGGCTGTAAAGATAAGAATTTTTAAAGAAATTTATTTAGAATTTGTGTCCAGGTTTTCCTCTTTAAAGGAATAACTTACATTGGCCAAGGTTGAGGCTATGAAGCAAACAACAGCTAAAGTAATGAAAGCTTTCATGTTGATTTCTTTAGTTTTTTGTTTGTCTAAGAAGGTGTTTCTTGAGAGTTGTTTAAGAAAGTTGTGTGATTCTTTGCTTCGATTTCAGCGGTTTTTATAATAAGAATTTTTGTTGGCTTTATATTACACTTAACAGAATTTTGTTTATAAAATCCAGTTTTATGTGTATGTGTTTATTATGTTTGCCAATTTTTCATGTATTTTTTTCTAATTTTTCTTTAATAGTTGTTTCGTAAAATGATTGACATACACACTTTTGGAGTTTGCTCTTAATATGTGTAGCTTGTTCAATATTTTATTGTTGTTGTTGTTTGAAATTGTCTGGTGTTGAATTACAAATCATGTTTAAGATCAAGTTATAAAAAAGGCTTGTGTGTTTTTAATAACTTTCTTTAAAAAACTAAAGTAAATTTGCTGTCGTTAAACAAACATAACTGAAATTGTAAAAAATTTAAGTTTTGAGAAACTTACTTTTTAAGGACAATGTTATACATAAGACATTACTTCGAAGTGATTTAGTAATAGACATTATGTTAGGCTTTTCCTCAGGACAAGTAATTATAGTTAAACTATAATTCTCATTCAGTTAAGAATGTATATAAATGAATCTACGGTTTTGTAAAAGGGATAAGTTTAAGATAACATAAGCATTTGTTGCCATCATTATTCAGAGTTCTAGAAAAGGTTATAAACCAAAAACTGTTTTACTTTTTACATGATTATACATATATATGAACACAAGTTCAACATTATTGGCAACTTAACTTTTACTATTTGCACATAAATCTCTTTTAATAGTTTCTGTTAATTAAATGCAGGTCAATAACTTTATTTTTTTTGCTATATTAAATTTCAATAAATCTCTAAGAAGTGTTAAAAAATCAATCAATTATTTTAATATTTTTTTTTAAAGAAAGTAAATGTCTTAAGAAAACCAGCAAAAGCCAAGCCTTTTCATAACTTCAGAGAAAAACTCATACAATATCTGACAACACTTCAAAATATCAAAATATTACTTAAAGGCAAAAGTGTGTATGTAATCATTTCTAGAAACTATAGACAGTAAAAAAACAAGTAAGAAATTATAGTCGGGCGAGGCCGACCATATAAAACTCTACACCTGATACAAAAATAAAGTGTGATTTGGTTTTCATAATAAAGTATTTAAATTGTATTGTACCTCATTTATTATTGAATAAAATTTTGGACATTTAAGTCAAATTTTGAAGGGGGATTTGTATAGGGGTTATGGTCAAATGAGACCCTATAATTATAAAATTTATGTGGGTCATCAAGGCTAGTAAAGAACTTGGTTTTGCAGCTTTTTGTCGAGATATATTAAACATAATTATGAACTTAAGAGCCCTATTCGGCGGGTTCAGTTGTTTGGGGGCTAGGTGAAATAATGGACCGATGTTAACCATTTTCAATAGGAAGATCATGTGCTAAATTTTATTGAATTATCTTCAAAATTGCGGGCTGTAGTTTGATTACAAGGTTTACATGCACGGACAGACAGACAGACAGACAGACAGACAGACAGACAGACAGACAGACAGACAGACAGACAGACAGACATACAGACAGACAAACAGACAGACGGACATAGGTAAATCGACTGAAATGATTATAAGCCGTTTTGTTTTCTTTAAGGTGAGTACAAACATCAGCACAAACCTAATATACCCTCTCCACTAAAGTGGTGTAGGATATAATAAAAAAACCATAATAATAACAAATCAAGAAAACATAAACAAAAAATGGCAAAAGATGTAAACAAAAAAAAATAAATAAACTAGATTTTGGTTGTGAACATATATGTGAATATGCTACAGTAAGCTAAAAATATTCTGATTATAAAAACCCCTGAAATCGAAGCAAAGAATCACACAACTTTCTTAACTGCCTTTAAAGAAACATCGACCCAAACAAACAAAAATCTAAAGAAATCAACATGAAGGCTTTCATTACTTTAGCTGTTGTTTGCTTCATTGCCACCACTTTGGCCAATGTAAGTAAATCCTTAAAGAAATATAATATGAATAAAATGTCTAACTAATAACTACCTATCATTACAGCCTTTGGAATTGAGCGAAGAACAAAAAGCCAAAGCTAAGGTTCATTTCCAAGAATGTGTTCAACAAGAAAATGTTTCCGAAGAAGAAGCCACCAGATTGCGCAACAAGGACTTTGCTAATCCCTCTGCCGCCATGAAATGTTTCGGTACTTGTTTCTTTGAAAAGGTTGGTACCTTGAAGGACAGTCAGGTGCAAGAGGAAGTAGTTTTGGCTAAATTGGGTGCTTTGATTGGTGAAGAAAAGACCAAGGAAGTTTTACACAAATGCAAGGATATTAAGGGTGATGATCGTTGTGATACCGGTTTCAAAATCTATGAATGTTTCGAAAGCTTCAAGGCTGAATTAACTGCTTAAGCAAAATAAAAGTATTATTTGAAGAAAATAAAAAAAAATATTTTTAGTTCTTTCTATTACATACGACTTAATGATTCATGATTAAACTGCCTATTGTGCTATTGGTGGCCTGCCAAAGAAGTACTATTCAACTTCTTCAACATTTAATTAATCCCATAACTCTATAAATAGAATAAAATATATTAAATTTAACAAAACATTAGGTACATAATTTTCTACCACTGACAATGAACCGACAAACAAGAAGCATTTAATAAAAAATTTTGAGCAAATTAAATGTTTAGCGAAAATCTGAAGTTAGTCACTTTATTTAGTTTTTATGCAAAAATTGCTAAGAATTTTAAAAATATTTTAGATTTTTTAAAATCTACACTTAATTACCTTTCCAACAATATATAATATGTTATACTTACCAGCTACTAACCTATTAAAATATTGGCAAAACATACAGCTCTACGAATATATTCACTAATAACTTTATTTATTAAACCAACTAACTACTATGCGCTTCTCATTTAAGCACAGACCATTAGCAAAAACTTATGAATGTTGTTGTTTTTGTGAAATCAAAAAAAGGGCTTTAGTAAACTTTTAGTAACGAGGAAACACACATCTCGTAAATTTAATACATTTTCTAAAATGCGTGCTTCAGCGTTTGCAAATATATAAATTCATAAAAAATTGAAATTTTCATAAAAAACTGAAATTTTCATAAAAAACTGAAATTTTTTTGAAATTTTCATAAAAAATTTAAATTTTCATAAAAAATTTGAATTTTCATAAAAAATTTTTTAGTTAGTTAGTTAGTTAGTTAGTTAGTTAGTTAGTTAGTTAGTTAGTTAGTTAGTTAGTTAGTTAGTTAGTTAGTTAGTTAGTTAGTTAGTTAGTTAGTTAGTTAGTTAGTTAGTTAGTTAGTTAGTAGTTAGTTAGTTAGTTAGTTAGTTAGTTAGTTAGTTAGTTAGTTAGTTAGTTAGTTAGTTAGTAGTTAGTTAGTTAGTAGTCGTAGTAGTTAGTTAGTTAGTTAGTTAGTTAGTTAGTAGTTAGTTGTAGTTAGTTAGTTAGTAGTTAGTAGTTAGTTAGTTAGTTAGTAGTTAGTTAGTTAGTTAGTTAGTTAGTAGTTAGTTAGTGTTAGTTAGTTAGTTAGTTAGTTAGTTAGTTAGTTTAGTTAGTTAGTTAGTTAGTTAGTTAGTTAGTTAGTTAGTTAGTTAGTTAGTTAGTAGTTAGTTAGGTAGTTAGTTAGTTAGTTAGTAGTTAGTAGTTAGTTAGTTAGTTAGTTAGTTAGTTAGTTAGTTAGTTAGTTAGTTAGTTAGTTAGTTAGTAGTTAGTTAGTTAGTTAGTTAGTAGTTAGTAGTTAGTAGTTAGTTAGTTAGTTAGTAGTTAGTTAGTTAGTTAGTTAGTTAGTTAGTTGTTAGTTAGTTAGTTAGTTAGTTAGTTAGTTAGTTAGTTAGTTAGTTAGTTAGTTAGTTAGTTAGTTAGTTAGTTAGTTAGTTAGTTAGTTAGTTAGTTAGTTAGTTAGTAGTTAGTTAGTTAGTTAGTTAGTTAGTTAGTTAGTTAGTTAGTAGTTAGTTAGTTAGTTAGTTAGTTAGTTAGTTAGTTAGTTAGTTAGTTAGTTAGTTAGTTAGTTAGTTAGTTAGTTAGTAGTTAGTAGGTAGTTAGTTAGTTAGTTAGTTAGTAGTTAGTTAGTAGTTAGTTAGTAGTTAGTTAGTAGTAGTTAGTAGTTAGTTAGTTAGTTAGTTAGTTAGTTAGTAGTCGTTAGTTAGTAGTTAGTTAGTTAGTTAGTTAGTTAGTTAGTTAGTTAGTTAGTTAGTTGTTAGTTAGTTAGTTAGTTAGTTAGTTAGTTAGTTAGTTAGTTAGTTAGTTAGTTAGTTAGTAGTTAGTTAGTTAGTTAGTTAGTTAGTTTTTAGGTAGTTAGTTAGTTAGTTAGTTAGTTAGTTAGTTAGTTAGTAGTTAGTTAGTTAGTTAGTTAGTTTAGTTAGTTAGTTAGTTAGTTAGTTAGTTAGTTAGTTTAGTTGTTAGTTAGTTAGTTAGTTAGTTAGTTAGTTAGTTCAGTAGTAGTTAGTTAGTTAGTTAGTTAGTAGTTAGTTAGTTAGTTAGTTAGTTAGTTAGTTAGTTAGTTTAGTTAGTAGTTAGTTAGTTTAGTAGTTAGTTAGTAGTTAGTTAGTAGTTAGTTAGTTAGTTAGTTAGTTAGTAGTTAGTTAGTTAGTTAGTTAGTTAGTTAGTTAGTTAGTTAGTTAGTAGTTAGTTAGTTAGTTAGTTAGTAGTTAGTTAGTTAGTAGTTAGTTAGTTAGTTAGTTAGTTAGTTAGTTAGTTAGTTAGTTAGTTAGTTAGTTAGTTCATTAGCTAGTACATTAGTAAGCAGTCTCATGAATCTACCAACTTCTCAAGTTGTCAAAAACTTGAAGTGGGTGAAAGTAATAAACCTTTGTTCCAGTTTCGCTGCATAGCAAATCAATTGAATAATTTCAATTATCGTTCAATAACCCCCTTTCAACATTTATTTACTTGACATCCAATTGAATAAATTAAATAATTTTTATGATTTCTATTTCCAAATAATGGAAAATAACTATTATGAACTCTGATCTAACATTTACATAAAATATAGTTCTTTTTTTTTTAATATATATATATTTTTTATTTACTAATTTTAGTGTTTATTTTATTGTTATAACTCGTGTGAAATTTTTGTCA